CACACACGCGCGCGCACACACACACACACACACACACACACACACACACACACACACACACACACACACACGCACGCACGCACCCACACGCGCGCACACACGCACGCACACACGCGCGCATCATGAACGAATATAACAGGCTATCAATTGTTGCCATGGCTGCTGTGAGCATGGCGACATACGGAAGTTTTTTTTAAACATGCGTTTCACCTTACACCGATCCCCATCAACACCTACATAACATACTGCGTGTAAGATGGTTGTCATCATTAAAGCTAGCAGCACACTTCACCATTTTCGTTGCTCGTACAGGCAATTTTCGTAGTCGCCACAAAAATGGCCAAGTGTGCTGGGGCCGGCAACGACCACACACTGCGGAAATTTAACCGGTTTGATTTCTCACCACGAAAATTGCTCGTGGTGTCAACTTGTGGTGAAGTGTACTGTGACGCGGCAACGGCCACAAAAATTCCCGACCACGAAAATTGCCTGCACGAGCAACGAAAATGGTGAAGTGTGCTGCTAGCTTTACACACGATCACGCGCTAATATTTAATAACTCTATTAATTTTTAATTGCTCTCGTGAATTAATGATAATTATTTACGCGAGCTTAAACGCGTGTAAAATTGGCTAGTTATTTTCGATGATTCTCGCGCGAACCATTACTAACGTAGGGGGGTGTGGTGGAGTGGGGAGAGGTGGGGTGGGGTGGGGGCGTCTGTGCGTGGCAAGCAATGCTGCAGCGGCCTTTTGTGCGATATTGCACCTGGAGGAAAGAAAACTTTTATTAGAATGAAGATTAGTTGTGATATTAGTTTAACTTGTAAAGCTCTATTACAGACCGTTGCTACAGAACAGCCACAACAGCATCGTTGGGTTTTTGTCCTTGTTCGGGAAAAATCTTTGCAACATAATACGCATGTTCACGACAATGATAAAATAACAGCGAATTTGCGACAACTGCCGTCTGGTGGTTAACAACCCCAGCGCTGTGGTCCATGTCTTCCGCCCGTGGATCTATTCTGTGTTATTCTGCTGCAGTGCTGCTACTACTGTCTCGCCGAGTTGCCATGAGTATAGCGTGTGTGAATGCACCGCACCGCACCGTACGTGGGTCGTGCAAGCAATTTAATTATCATGCCTGAAATACTAAGTGAGCTATATATATATATATTATTATATATTAATTGCCAAGTGCTACTTGCTATACTATGTACTATATATTTATGTTACATTGAAGTGCTACTTGCATATTATCCTTACTCATATATATCAAGCGCTCATATAGATTTATTATATATGTGTGTTTGTGTGTGTCTGTGTGTGTGCGTGCGTGGTGGGTGTGCGTGCGCGTTACCGACAAAGTGCCCTACATCTGAGACTAACTTCGCTTATGCCGGAGCATAAGCACATGCATCACCACTAACTTTACATACCCACACCACATAGTATATCTTATATTATACTATATTATTTTATCTATATATCAGCCGACTTTCTATATGTTTAATGGTTGCACGCGTTGCACAGACTTGATTTACCGTTATGCAGATATGACGTCACGTGGCGGTTACGCCTCGCTGCAGGAGTGGACTTAAAAGGAGATCGATGCTCGTCTCTCTCTCTCTCACTCACAACAACCACCCAACACAAACCAGCACACCACACACAAACACACACACAAACACACGCCACGCAACACACCACACGCACACCACCAACATGCACCACACAGCCAACACACACACTACCCACACACACCCACACACCCACACACCACACCGCACACACACACCCACACACCAAAACAGCAGCGCACCACCACCACACACACGACAACCACACACCGCAACACACACACCAACCACAACACACACACACAAAACACCACCCCACACGTCACAACACCAACCACAGACAACAACAACAACAACACACACACACACAAACACCCCACGCACCACACACACCACACAACACACACCCAACACCACCACACACACCACCACAAACACCCCACACTTCCAAAACCCACGAACACACAACACCACCACAGCACCACACACACCACCCCAACACACAAACACACACTCTCTTCTCTCTCTCTCTCTCTCTCTCTCTCTCTCTCACTCTCTTTCTCTCTCTTCCTCAATCGCTCTCTATCTCTCTATCTCAGACATTATCTCCCTCGCTCTCTCTCTCTCCCCCCCTCCCTCCCTCTCTCTCTCTCTCTCTCTCTCTCTCTCTGTTCTCACGTCTCCTGCAACCAAGAATGCGTTAGCTGCCAAAGAAATCTGATTCGTTCAGTGTTCACGCGCGCACATGTGCATTCATCGAACGCTCCCGTCATCTCGCATATACACGTCCTCCACACTCAATCTCCATCCTACGACTCATGAATAGAGAAAGCGTGCATCACGGCGGCTATATGCATTCAGCGTACGGCGCACTTCCATGTGTATTTAACTAATGGAGGTCCCGCGTCATCTAGTACGAAGCAGGACTTAACTCTACGAGCCGATCGTTTGCCGCGTGTGTGTGGCAGCTATTCAGAATGATATATTCTCTGCATGCACTCGTTAAGATCGTCGCGATAGATTCGTCGCACATGCCAATCTAAAAACAGTGAGCGCCATTTGTCAATCTGAGAAATTGGTCGTTGGGGAATTTGGTCGACGAATCACGGCAGGCGAATGCGGTCACGTGCGAGGCGGACTACATGTAATGACGTCTGGAATGTATTTAAATGTTTATCACGGGGTTTTGAACATCTTGATGTGTTTGTTAAGGGGCAGCACGCTGCATTCTCGTCTGTATTATGCACGAAATAAAACCACGATGACATCCCTTGATTCGGAACGTTTTAATTCTTTTCCTTACTATTACTATCACTATTATTATACTTCTGCACCTTGTCCTTTCTCTCTCTTTTCCTCCTTCTCCGCCTTCTTCCTATTTCTGTTCTCTTCTTCTTCTTCTTCTTCTTTTTCTTCTTCTTCTTTTATTCTTCTTCTTCTTTTTCCTATTATTATTATATTATTATTATTATTATTACTATTATTATTATTATTATTCTCTCTCCTTTTTGCAATCCCCTCCGTGCTACTCTCCTCCTTCTCCTTCTCCTTCTATTAACAAGCAGAGTTACCTTACGTTGCAACGCGTGTTAATTCCACCGTGTATCGTATCGTTGCAGGCTGGAACCGCTACGTGGCCGTCAGCTCGGAGACGTGGCTCACCTTCCATCTCGACTGGCTCAAGTTCGACGGCGACCTGCACATACTCTACTACGCGAACCTGAAGAACAATCTTCTCGCCGAAGTGCAGAATCTCGCGAGATTTCTCGGCCACACGATGGCGCCACAGATCGCCGCCTGCACGGCGCGCAACTCGCGCGGCAGGTTCAAGCGAGAGAAGTACCAGCTTCCCTTCCTGCCGTTCACCGAACAGATGATTGCGGATATCGACCGCAAGAAGGCGCTCGTGGAGGAAGGCATTCGAAAACACATGAACGCCAGCGCCACCGTCGTGTTGTGATATACGAACAGCAGAGAAAACTACACAACGAGTGAATCTGGGGCGAGCGCGCGCATAGGTAGACGGATCACGACGCTGGTAAAGATCTATGCGCGTAACCTAAGAAGGATCTACGCACGTAACCTAGGAAGGATCTACGCACGTAATCTAGGAAGGATCTACGCACGTAACCTAGAAAAGATCTACGCACGTAACCTAGAAAGGATCTACGCACGTAACCTAGGAAGGATATACACACTCAACCTAGGAAGGATCTACGCACGTAACCTAGGAAGGATCTACGCACGTAACCTAGGAAGGAAGGATCTACGCACGTAACCTAGGAAAAATCTACGCACGTAATCTAGGAAGGATCTACGCACGTAACCTAGGAAGAAAGCATCTATGCACGTAACCTAGGAAGGATCTACGCACGTAACCTAAGAAGGATCTACGAACGTAACCTAGGAAGGTTCTACGCACGTAACCTAGGAATTATCTACGCACGTAACCTAGGAAGGATCTACGCACGTAACCTAGGAAAGATCTACGTACGTAACTTAGGAAGGATCTACGTACGTTACCTAGGAAGAAAGGATCTACGCGCGTAACCTAGGAACGATCTACGCACGTTACTTAAGAAGGATCTACGTACGTAATCTACGAACGATCTACGCACGTAACCTAGGAGAGATCTACACACTTAACCTAGGAAGGATCTACGCACGTAACCTAGGAAGAATCTACGTACGTTACCTAGGAAGAAAGGATCTACGCGCGTAACCTAGGAACGATCTACGTACGTTACTTAAGAAGGATCTACGTACGTAATCTACGAACGATCTACGCACGTAACCTAGGAGAGATCTACACACTTAACCTAGAAAGGATCTACGCACGTAACCTAGAAAGAAAGGATCTACGCGCATAACCTAGGAACGATCTACACACGTTACTTAAGAAGGATCTACGTACGTAATCTACGAACGATCTACGCACGTAACCTAGGAACGATCTACGCACGTAACCTAGGAAGGAAGGATCTACGCACGTAACCTAGGAAGGATCTACGCACGTAACCTAGGAAGGATCTACGCACGTAACCTAGGAAGGATCTACACACGTAACCTAGAAAAGATCTACGCACGTAACCTAGGAAAGATCTTTACAAGAAAAGAAGACAGGAAGACTCCGGAAACCCTCCGACGAGGGACGTAGTACAAACTGCCGATGGTGACGTCATATCAGCGCAGTGCCTTCGCCGTGTCCGTCTGCCCACAAGGACCCCTTTGCGAAGAATCTTCTGTGAATCTATGAGCTTTACAACTCTCGTCAATGCCTTGAAGCGGTAATCGGGGAACAGCCGTCGAGACAATGTGTGTTTACCCGCGGTTTATGACGTCACGACGGCGTCTGCCAGTCCGTCTCCATTAGCGCCATCTATTGGCCGTAAGTGGGGACTACGAGATTATAATGTAAACGTAGCTAATGACTCATACATATCATTCAAAGTTTCAACGAGTGCACAATTACGCGAAAAGCGTGTTATAGCATGCGTGCGTGCGTGCGTGCGTGCGTGTGTGCGTGCCTGCGTGCGTGCCTGCGTGCGTGGAGGATCAGAGCTTGGCAGACAAAAGCAATCTTGACTATTGTCGAATATATCAAAAGCGGCATACGGTTTGTGGTTCTGCCTTTTATGAGCAGCATGCCGCAATTTCATAGTCCTGATAAAGTCCGATTCTACATACACGCGTGGCATTCCTAACCAAATACGGTAATAATCGTGTCTCTATTCCACCTAAATCTTAGAAGGAGCTTAGACTGGGTCTATAAGTCGCTGTTGCTGTGCTGTGGGTTCGGCCACGGAGACGTGCTGAGCCCGTCTAGAGGGTACACGTGTTTGTCGAATAAGCCTTCACTGAAAACGAGAATGTTGTATGCGCGTTGCAAAATATTCAATTTGCTGCCATTATCGCCAGAAAACGCATTTTCTATTATGTTTTGGCAACTATCTGCACAGTAGCGCTGCATGTGGTGTGCAGTCCATGCTACAGTATATCGAGGGGTGGACTGACAAAGGAAAATATAGAAAAAAGAGGCAATCGCTAGACAGACAGAGAGAGAGAGAGATATAGAGCGCGAGAGAAACTGACAAAGGAATATGTCGTAAAAACGGCCATTGTGTGAGAGAGAGAGAGAGAGAGAGAGAAAGAGAGAGAGAGAGAGAGAGAGGGGGGGTGGCTTGCCAGTGTGTTATATCACATCTGCGTCTTCACATGAGACATATATCTATTCTCTGCATACATTACCGATTGCTCTGCGTGAAAAAAATCCCAGTCGCTACATTACGATTGTCCTCCATGGCAGATGGCGTGCAGCACGGCGGCCATGTTTAATTCAACGATTAATCCACAGAATCTCACTACGTAATGTAAAAGATATATATAGAGAGAGAGAGAGAGATAGAGGAGGGAGCGAGCATTTAAGAGAGAGAGAGGGGGAGAGAGATAGAGAGAGAGAGAGAAAGAGAGGAGGGAGAGACGGGCGAGAATGTGTTTCGCACCTGTTCAATAAATATCACGTTACGCGCGGACGACATATTCTGTTGCCGCTCGCACCACACACTACACCCCGTCCGTCTGCCCTCACGGAGTCCCTTCCGTGAAAAAAGGCAGTTTCCGTGGAAAACAAAATGCATATCGGACTTCAGTCGGACGGATTTTACGTACGCGCAAATCTCCACGTTTTACCAGATGCTGGTGTGCGGTATGAGCAGTGATGGTGAGGTGTGGGGTGATGGG